CTCTGCCCCGTTACTGACTGATCCAAAATTATGGGATACAGCCGCGACTCTCACCGGGATAAGGAGATTGAAAGCAGAGGAGCCCAAGACGATCACAATTTATAGTGGCTGCTAAAGTAGAATGCGGGACTTCCAACGAAAAGAGCAGACTAGCCAATAGCTGGATGCTGGCTTCAAATGGCGAGTTGAATCTGACCCCTCTGAGTCCCTCTTGGATTCCCTATCGCGAAGTAATGCGAAAGTGGTTCCAGGGTAGGGGAATATCCAGGGTAGGAGTAGGGATCGTTTTAGTGGCTACACCACACACGTAGGAGTGACGGCTCCTATATGGGGTTTTAAACCCTTTCCTCACCGCCAAAAAAAAAACTATAGTCTTACTCACGAAAATGTTTAATATGAATATTTAACTGCGTATTTTGGTTTCTTAACTAATTTTTGAACAATTTTGAATTTTAATTTGCCAAACTTCCTTGCTGCTAGCAGAGAAAATTCAGTGGTAAGTCCCCTTTGGTTTGTTTACAATTTGCTTCTAAACTCTTTGGACAACAAGTCCGCATGGAATGCATCACATGGCAGCCCATTAGACATCACCGAAACGGATCATAGCGATCTCGGTGTAATCACACCGCATCACAGCAGTGGTCCGACGCCAAAGACACTTAGCTCTCAAAATTCTAATTTTGGAAAAAGTTTCGAAAACAATTCAACAACAACAAGCCAAAGACTACGCCAGCGGAATAGGGTGGGTGAACGAAGGGGCTGTCGATGGCAGTGTAATTATTAAAATCAAACATTTGTTCGTGATAAAAGAAAAACAACAAATTTAATACAAGTGCGGAATTGCGTAATTGTGGGATTCGTACACAATGAAATGTTCACCAAAATTCATACTCATATGTATGTATGTATGTGTGCGTGTGGCGTAGGTGGCATGTGTAGCGTATTTACCCATCGATTGGCCCACCGATTGTTCGTTTGTCGCAGGGAGGAGACGCTGGAGCCGCAGGCATTTTTGGACATGTGGAATTCATTTCATAATTTCGCTTGACATCGCAATGTGATGGAAACGATTTCTGGCATTTATTCAACGAACGCCCCTGTTGTTGCTGTGCTTTTATTAGTCGCCTTCGATCGGCATTTTGTTCACAAAGACTTTCTTGGTGTTTTGATGGGATTGAAGCTGTGTGACGCTTCGGCTGTGAGTGGAGGGCCTCCGCTTTTGTTTACATGCGCACATTTGGCCGAATATTATTAGAAATAATAAATTAATTATTTATGAGCGTTTGGTTGAGAAATCCATGAAATGTTTGTGTGATTTACGACACAGTGTTGAATTGGCTTCCTTTGCTTGGCTGTGAGTTTTGAGTGAAATCGTTTGGCTTTGATGCCTGACACATCAAGGAAATATTAAGTTGTAATTAAATCGCGCATAGCCGACTGCTGCAGAATTCAAAACAAAATATACATATAGCCGATCTGAATGAGTTACGAGTAAATAAGTGTCTAAAGGCGATTTTTCAAAAGTGAGTTGTAAAATTCATCGGTTATTTGCTTACAATTGCGTGCAGTGCATGGGCGTACGCAGTTGCGGGCTGGGCGGCGGGCGCTATCTTCCTATACATAAAATAAATTGTAACAGAAAATGTTATGATTTTTACTCAATCATATCGGTCATTTGCTTCAAGAAAATGGTAAAATAATTATTATCTTTTAATATTTTCTGCTTAGTTTGTACTTGTAATTTAGGTTTACGCATGCTTAGCGTTTATAGAGGCTTTGTAGAAAAAGCAAAAATGAAATCATCACAAAACAATTTATGGACTAGCAGAAGACCCTCGAAGACTATTGTTTAGCCAAAACACAACCGACTTCAATTATCACATACAAATTTAGAAGTACCGTTAATTTCTTCATGATCCAATTATCGGCTCTAAATCAAATTAGTATGGGATCAGCCATACATAAAAAAATATTCCGTTGAATTGATAACCTCCTCCATCGTTGAAGTCGGTTAAAAAGAGAAAAATTAATGAGATAATTTATTATAAATTTTTTAATAGCCTTAATTTAACATTTCTAATAAAATTTACATTACAAATAATCTCAAACCCCCCACCCCTCCCTAACGTATGCCCTACGTACGCCCATGGTGCAGTTAGAGAGAGAGAAATGTAGTATTTAATAATGTTTAGAAAGCTATGTATTGCTGTACTAGAAACTGGAAGCCTGTTACATATGTATTTACAATGTACGGTACGCAATGATATCGGTGCAAATACTGCAGGGCATGGTATATACATCTATGCGGTTTTGTTGAAATCCAAACTGTATAAGGCACTCACCATTCCCGACTTAGAATATAGCACAAAATCATGGACAATGACAGCATCCGAAGAGGCGGCCTTTGGACTGTCCGAGAGAAAGAAGGAGAAATTCGAAAATCTAAGATGGTCGAAAATTACATACATATATTTGCAAAGTCGCATTCTCAAAAACATGCGGCTAATAGCAGGACCTGACGAACCGGTGTTCTCACACTGTTTTTCTAATAATCTTTATCATCTACGTTTCCGAGTAAATTGTTTGATAAAAAAAGGAAAATACCAAATAAATGATAAAAACAAGCTTCACCTGGCACTTAAGGAATTCATTACAGTTGGCAAAGAAACACTTGCTTTATTTAATGCGTCCAGCGTCAAAGTCAGCTAATCTGATAACTCGGTATCGCTTCAGAATTTTTTTTGGAAATGTACCGTTCCTAGAGAGCTCACCTTCTCTGATGTGAAATTTTATTTTTATTTATAACTTTTACTTTTCCCTCTCTAAGTCCAACCGTATTTTTTTTTATCGACTATCACCAGGACATTTTCTATTCCAAATGCTCATATCGATCATAATCGTTGTCGATAGCCGCCCAATTAAAGCACTAAAATTAGATAATTGTGTTTAAATGAAAAGTATACAGCAGATATGAATGATATTACATTTCTTTTACAACTTTTGCTTTAATTTGTCCACTTTTCTAAAACAAATTGCACTTCGGTGTCCATTGTAACCGAAAAATGCAACTCGAGCACAATTGTGACCTTCAGTTCTACCGTTACTTCAAACATGTTTCGTGTTTTCGCAATTTGTTCAGACCACTGGCGACATACGTAATTTGTGTTCGTACCCGATTCGAGCGCTGAGCTCTATCGCTCGTAGCTCGATTTGCAATCATTAAAAGCTTGCAGCATTTTCCTACGTTTTTAGAGGTAAATAGCTCAAGGAAAGTGTACAGTCGAGCTATCATAGTGCCGGATTTAGGACGTATGGGCCCCCTAGGCTCCTTCCGTGGTGCGGGCCCCCCTGGGAGTACTAAGACAAACGGCGGGCGCGGTGGTCCTCCAGATTTTAGTTTTTTAAATTTGTAAACATAACCTAACCTTATAGGTAAAATTACGATTCGGTTTTTCTATACAATTTAAAAACACATGTTTGCAATTTTTCACATATTTTCATGTGTATGTACAGTGCCGGACAAAGTGAAATGTCTGCAAAGTTTTTTATTCTAATTTCTTCTCGCCAATTTTACATATAAATATTGTTCATGCTAGAACAAAAAAAAAAATTAGGAAAAATCTCTAAACTTTGTGCAGAACTCAGGAAAATTCAATCAATTTGCATACTATTTAGTTTGCAACTTTCAAATCAGATTTTCCAGAAAAATTCTAAATATGCAGTTTTATAGTCCATTCAATTTTAGTATAAAAAAGTGCAATTTTTTTGGGGTCGGTGTTATTAGCTAGGATTTTATGAAACTGCAGTAAAAAAAGCCAAAAAGATCAGCCCGTTTACCGTCATCGACGTCCGATGTCGCGGTTTTGTCAGCTTCAGTTTAGAAAATTACCTTTCTGGTGAACTTTTGGTGACCACGAGAGAAACGTACATTCTTAATGCAACTTCTACATTTGGAAAGCAATCTTTAACGTTTAAATTGTATTAGCTCGTTCCCAAAATTGTCATCCAAGTCGTTTTCGCATTTCTCAAACAATTTTGTACTCTCTGCTAACATTTCTTTATCACCGAGCGAGTCTTTTGAGCTTTTTGAGGAACCCAAAACGTCCATGGATAAGTTTGTAGGCCTCAATCCTTTTCCTTTTTCCCAGTTCACTCCCAAGTGTGCCTATTAGAGGTATGAAACTTTGAGTCCATAATGTAGTCGAAGGTCTTTAATGTCAACGAATTTTTAAAAATATTTTTATTTAATTTATGTTTAATTTTTTTATTTCTAAAATTTCTTTTATTAGTTATTATTATTTTAAAAATAAAGAAATATATATTGAGTTTATACTTTTCTAGGGCTCCGCACACACAAAATACAATTTTTTTTATTTAATTTTTTTTTTTTTTTAATTATAGCTACAAGGCGATTATTTATATTTAGGTTATGCTAGCGTGTATGTACATCTGCAAGTAACTCACTCTTTTAAAAATTCTAACCAAGCCACTCCACCCGATTCGGGTGCGCATTACGAACTGTGATTTCCGGTACTTCAAAACTTGATGGCGCACTCAAGCCTGCTTCCTCACATCAAATAAAAAGTCATGTTTGTATGTAGCGTTCATATAAATTTGCTCTTTATTTAATACTTTTTATTAATTTTGCTAAATTTACTTATTGAATTCAGCTTAAACTTAATAAACACTATGATATGTTACAAAATATTTGTATTAAAATCGGTTGTTCGCCTACTATTTATTAATTGCGATAACACGTTGTACTTAAATCAATTACAGTTACATTGAGTATTTTTATTTATTTTTGAGATATCCTTTAAGAAAAACGTATACTTTATTGTGATTACAAAGAAGTCCATTGAACATAAAATTATATAGTTAAAATTTAAAATAAATTTATTACACCAAAATTCTTCCAATGAAATGGTTGAAATTAAATTTTAATACTTTCGCAGGTAAAATGAAATAAATTTACAAAAATACGATTACGATTAATACAAATAAATACATATTTACATTTAATTTGAATTGATATTTAAAACCTTATTGCCTACAGTACATAAATATGTGTGTATATCATTGCGTCCCAGTATTGGGCTAACGATTGACTCCGGCCGCAAGAGGACGAGCCTGCATTACTAAAAATATATAACAAGGTAACGGTGTTTGAGATGACTACTTGGAAGGACGGTCGCAGCGTTAACAACTGACTCTGACTCTACACCGAAATCGCGCTTGTCGACATTTCGTTGTACTGCGCCTGCGTCTGTGTCTGCTGCTTGATGCCGCCGCTCATGAGCATCGATCGGTAGACTTCGGAGAGCAGATTCCACATTGGTGGTGCTGGCGAGGACCCATCGGCTACAGCGTCTGTCGCTGGTAGCGCGGTTGGAGCGTAGGGCGCTTCGGAAGACTGTGCTGCGGCGGCGGCTGCGGCGGCTGCGAACATCTGTGATTGCAGGAGGCGCAGTTGGTGTGCCTCAGGCGAAAAGGATGACGGAGATGTGGCTGCATTTATGCATTCCGGGATCGTCTCCGCATTGAGCATTTGGTTTTGTGCCAATTGCGGCGTCAGGTCAAGGCCTTGCATGCAGTCCGTTGTGGTTTCATCCTCCGCCTCCATTTTAACAACCACTGGCGGCGAGACAGGCGCCTCGACCACTTCGTTATTGTTGCTATTATTGTTGTTGCGCTTACGCTTGCCCAGCAAGCAATCCACCGAGAATCCATTAGACTTTGCCATCACCGTTCGCTGGGGACTAGCGCTGGGAGTAGGGCTGTTGGTGGGATTTGCCGCTACAACTGGGCTGGGTAAAGGTGTCTCCACTGCAGCGATGCGACGCTTGTGTAGACTAAAATCCAGCGGTTCGTTTGAGTTCTCCATTTGTGTGAAATTCAACTCCGCTTCCTCGTCAATAGACACCGATATCAGTTCTTCATCCTCATCTCTAACTTCGGCGTCACGTGCTGCCTCGTCATCTACGTAGGTCGCATCGACTTCACGGCAGTAGTCGTCCACATCGCTATGACTATCACCGTGACTAGTATTGGAGATGGTTGTGTGAACGTCCAGGATGTAACTGTCATCTTCACCCTCTGCATCGGACGCTGAGGTAGAACCCGTGCCTGTAGAGCTGTATCGCAAGCCACCACTCACTCCCAGCCGCTCGTGACTGGCCAACATGCGCTGTAAGTTGGCAGGATTTGTGGGCGGTGGGAATTCACCAAACATGGTCGCTGGGTGCGCGCCATAACCACCAGCGGCTGCAGGTGGCATGAGGCCCGGAAATGCGGCCGAAGGCAACAGACCGGCAGGTGACAATGAAAACACGGGAAATTGTTGCGCCGTGCGGCCATCGTGCGGTGATATCTTGCGGCGGATGTGAGGCGAGTGCAGCTTCGGATTGGGGTTGGCGCTGTGACGGTTGCGGGAGCGACGCGAGCTGAACACCATGTTGCAACCCTCAACAGTGCATTTGTGCATCTCACGCAAGTGCACGGCAGAGAAGTGTATCTTCAGCGCGCCCTTGTCGCAGAAGGTCTTCAGGCAGATGGAGCACTGAACGCGCTTCTTGCCCGTCACAGGGTTGATAAACTGCGCGGCGAGATTGACGGGTGGAGAGCCCCAGCGCTTCGGCTTGGACAATGCACCGGCGATGGGCGAGGTGGCGGGCGATGCGGCATTCGAAACAGACATTGAGCCAGGTGCGGCGGTGGGCGGATGGCCCAGCAGGTAGGCGGGCGGCATGAAGGCAGACATGAGGTGTTCCATTTTTGCGATGGGTTTTGCTTTTACGCTTTTACGCCTGATTGCGAATTTTCGTTTATTAAAAACTGAAATGAGAGAAAATAAGAGTTTTTTATTGAAATTACTGAATTAATTTACTGTTTTTTTTTTTTGTTAGTTATGAGTCACAAATATTTGTTAGCTATTAAAGTGGCAACAACAACTTGAAATAAAAACCAAGTTTCCGCTTTTCTGAATAATCGTGGCTCTTATTAATACAGTTCTGGCTCATCCGCCACCACCACTATCTTGATTGACAGTCTGAAGTGGTAGTTTGCGGTTAGAGCAGCGCTTCACACCAGCAGCAAAAAAAAAAAAACAAAACAAAAACATGAATGGCTGCATTCATCTGCGATCATCTGTGCATAATTAGAAAGATGACATCTCCTACTCAGCTAAAAAAAAAAAATGCCCGCTCTAAATTCAATACAAACGAAATGATACGAAACGCTGATGGAAGTGGTGCGAAGCTGGGCAAAAAGAGAGAGAGGCATCGTCAATTAGATTGAACTGGAATTAAGTGAAGTGGAGTGGAGTGGAGCCGAGTCGAGTGCTTCGAGATGGAGATTACATCATTTCCTTGATGTCAAAGTGGATAAGCGAAGACGCACTTGAGTGCATTGATTCGCGAGATCGCATATGGCAGGCAACACTTGCCAGCGACATCAGCGACATCAGCGACTCTGAGGAAGGGCAAAACTTCTTAATTTCTTTACAATTTTTACGAGCAACAAGCATCACAGGCGATCATTGCGCGCAAAAGATTTTTTCAAAAGAATGCGCTGAAGGGACAACCATAACGTCGCGACTCGCGAGAGACAACTGCCAATCAAGGACGCACAGAAATTACGCCATAAATGTCGCCAACAGCAATTCGCAGTAAGCGAAGCGAACGTGTGAGGATTATCATGGAGGATGTGGATGTAGTACCTATTTTACACACAGATCGTAAAATTACAGTGAGTACACTCATACATACTAAATTATCTGCATGCATATGTATGTATGTATGTATGTATGTACACTTGAAGGTGTGAGCTTTTGTGCTAAAATCAACGAGAAATGGCACAAAACGCAAACGGTTGAATGGACAATAAACAGGCACATGCGTACATATGTATGTATGTACATTAGACTGCCCCACCTTCCATACAATGAAAAATGAGGTTTCCCTAATCTAACGGAATGCAAGTACTCGCGACATTTTATGAGTTTTATAACCACCAAAAAATATTTGGGTTTGCAATTCAATATTTTTCGTGGGCTGGGTTGCTTAGAAATCGCATATTTTCACAAAAAGTATTTGGGTAACGCATTACTTTTATCAAATAAATTACACAGTTATACCAGCATTCATGAAAACTGCATTGAAAAGTTGCCAAAAAAATTCCCCAATTTGTATCTAATAATTTCTTGTGAGCCACCCTAATGTACACTATATGTACGTAGATTTGTACGCTGCCAGGCAGGGACATAACTCAAATCATAAATTCAAGTGATCTTGAACGCCAAATTTATATTTTGGATGACAGCAAAAAAGAAGGAAAAAAGAAGAACAGAATTGGAAAAAATGTCAGGTAAGCACTTTTGTATTCTCTGCTTGACGCTGGAGGAGACGGCACCGTGAATCAAGTGCGAGAATAAAGTGACAAAAAAAAAGTATTTTGCGCTGCCTAAAAGACCATTGTAGTTGGGCTTTCGAAAATTGAGTTGATGTTCACAGAGAGTGCGGCTCGAAAGCGAAAAACTTTGGCTCTTTACACTTTCAGGCACGAATGCCACTGCAGAGCTCCAATGGGCTAAATTACTGCTGAACATTGGTGACAGAGCGATGAAGACCACCGCCCATCGGCAGGAAATTCTTTAGCTTTCTAATCTGTATTCATGCAAACTTTTCATGGCATGGCATATAAACGGGTCGGGAGCGGGGCTATTTCTTGTCAGCTAGCACATAAAATATGTATGTTTTACAACACTAACAGCAACAGTTTCTGCCATAACTCGCCGCGATTTGAGTTACTTGCCGAAATCGCCTTCAACTGCCGCCAAGAGCGCAAGGAATGAAGGAAGATGCCAAGTCATAAACTCCACACACATGTCCATACATATTTACATATGGAGGTAGGTATGTGTGTATGCACAAATAGAATATATCGGGTCCAGCATGTAAATCGTGTGAGAAATGAAGGCTTTTAATCGATCGTAAATAATTACGACTTACACGGGTGCAGCAGCAAATCAAGCTGCGAACGAAATTCGTTTACGACAATCAGCAGCATTCAATAAAACTGAAAAGAGTAATAAAATCACGAAAGACAACGGCCGTCAGGCAAAAATAAAAATAAAAAATTAAATATGCATTAAGAAATAAAAAAAAACGAATAGCCGACGAATTTCGTCGTAAGCGGCAAGTGACCTCTGCTGCACTGTGACCCTGCCTGCCTGCCTGCCTGTCACCACAAAGTATTCCAATTTGTTTTTACCAACTTTCAACAGCGTCGACCGCCGCCGCTGCCGCACTAATTTACACGCGTAGTTCATGTAAGCGGCGCGCGTCCGCAGCCTTAAGGCCCAGTTGACACATTTTGGTTGCCATCTCAGTTTGACAAACATGCTCGCATACTCATACATACATACATACATAGATGGCTGTACATAAATACATATGTAAATGATGTTCACAATAAGTCGCACTCATAAATTGACGCTTGCCGCTTGCTGCAGCAACTGTCACTTGTCTGGAACAACAATGACCGAACATGACATAAAAACGACAGTAGTTTGTTAATGTGCACAACAACAGCAACAATAGTCGTGACAAAAAAAAATTCCAAAACACGCTCCTTTTATGTTAACTTACAGATTTTTTTCATTTTTTTTTTCTTCATAAATGTTTGTCCGTAAAAAAAAAAAAACCAAAACAAAACAAAAAACGACAAAGCTGGCAATGCCCAGAAAGTTGCCAGCAGCGCCGAAAAACCATAGCAGCTTCCAACAACCACAAAAGCAGCTCGCTCGTCAAGCGTCAGCCATAATCGCCAGCGAGCGTCACCAGCCAAACGAAGATGACACTTTTATCACTGGTAGCTCGTTGACGATCCGACTGCTGGCGCGTTTCCATTTGTTTTTTTTTTTTTTCTTTTTTTTTACCAGCTTCAGCAGCGACTTTGGCCGGTACTGGTGAGCCTGAACTGCTGATGTTGGTTTGATGTTGATTTATTATCGGCGGCGATTGTATGCGATGATCATTAACATTTAGATTGGATTTTCTGTTAGTGTTAACTTGTATGTATGAATTCGTGTTTTTGTGTTTTTGTGTTTTTTTGATTTTTTCTGTGTGTCTTTTTATCTCGTATTAACCTCTTTTTAGCCGCTTAGCTTGTTTGGGTGTTGAGCTGCTGCTGCTGCTGCTGGCTTTATTTTTATGCTGTTTTCTAGGTAGCCCGGTGGTGACCGCTATAAAATCCTAATGAGCTTTCTTAGCGCTCAATTGCTCGCGCGCTAGCTACTAACCGTTTTTGGAATTCTTTGACAAAATCTTTAGTTGTCAAATTTTTGATGGGAAAAAGCGTATAAAAAGGCATTAACAAAATGCGACAGGCCATTAAAGGCAACACCGATTCGATCGTACATAGGTAATTATAAAGCCATAGCGCATAGAAATCGGTACCTACTACATACATAGATATGGGATTGACTTCACAAGCAGCCGGCTGCAGGGAACCTTCACTTCTGCCGACACTAGTTTGAGTTTTCAATAAATTTTTTAGGATTATGTTTATTTTTATGAATAAATTGCGATATACGCATTGCTGAATGCCGTATGTTTTCTTAGCACCAAAGTTTCTTAATGTAAACTCTGGCGAAGATGAAGTATCGAAAGTCTAATCATAAAACCTCTCTCTGCTTACGACGTGTCACGTAGCGCTCTCCCCCCGGTGCAGTTCTCGTGTATTTCAATTTCAATTTCCGTAAAGCGAAATTATCACAAACCAATCCATTCTAATTGGGTTCTGCATAGCCGCCCAAGAAAGTCCCGTCCGACTAAATCGTAACTCACCTAACCCTCTTCCACTGTGACTTTGTATAGCTCCTTCTTTACCAACTCGTTTGTTATGACAACTTAATAAATAGGCACTGTGAGTAGAGTGCTCACTGATCCCTCACCTTCTTTGCCTCGATAATGAGCGGCTGCTCCAGGTCTGATGTCCACTATTGATCTTTGATTTTCATATCGAAAAGTGCAGGGACATACAACGTAGGTTTACAAATCCACTTGCAAGAAATGGAGGTCGTTTCGTTTGCCCCCCTTCGCCTCCGGAATGACTTAAACCCCCTTTAGTGAAGCTTCCAGGAGTTACTGGAGCTCCTAGCTCCAATTCCGATTCCAGTTGTAGAGTGGATAGGCAGACGAGGGCGAGGGCGAGGGCTATTCGCGCAGCTCTTGTCAACATTGATGGCTCCAATGCCAATTTACAAGAGCCGGCAACATGCGACCCGTCGGGTGTTTACAGATTTTACGAGCCCATTAGAAAGATAAATTAACAAACGAACGCAGCAAATGAGAAGACAAAAAGTGGCTTAAAGTGATCGCAACGATCGCCACTACGGCGAAAAACAAACAACTGTGGTGGACAAGTACATATCTGTATAGCGGTAGCTATGTATGTATGTACATATGTATCTATGTAAATAGTTATAAGCAGTAAAACACAGTAACGACATTAAAATCAACAAAATAGCGCAAAAGTAGTTGGGAGCAGAAGCAGAGAAGAAGCGATCTTGCCGCTTTGATTTTTGATTACTAAGATTCCGTGTATGTAGTTGTAAGTTGTTGCCACGTTCCCTCTTCCATCGGCGTATCCCCTCTCTCTCTCTCTTAAACGACAAGTTGTGAAATCTTAACAAAGGGGACGAAAATTTATTATTTCTGTCTTTGAGTGTTCTTTTTTTTTTCTTCATTGTTCTTTTAATTTGCGTGCATAGAGCTGGGCGGACTTGGTCGCGGAGTTGGCCGCCTTTTGATGTCATAAAATTTGAAGACCAG